AAATATCCAAATGACAAACGGTCTGAAGATTTAGAAACTAGACTCGAAGATGTTTAATTTGATAGGTTGTACACCATATAACTCTTTATATATCCCGAGATATGAGCTTCTAAAGTCGGCTCCATGAAATCAGAAAATTCTGGAGAAACTGCTCCACCAGTCATCTTCAATCGATCATAACTTCCTCTACAAATGTTCAAATTACGATTTCTTTAGCTTTTTGGAAACTAGACACGAAGGGCTACAACTTTTGTTTTTGAATCATCTCAAAATTCCTTGTAGATAAAAAGGTATAGGCCTCCGAAGTACACTCCACGACTGCACATTTGCTGTCCAAAGACAGCTTAGCAGCAGAAATTGCAGCAGCTTTTTCTTTTCTTTTGGGTCCGAATTCCATTCCGTTAACCTTCCGAAATCCACCCGAGGCCCTCGGGACCTTAACCAATTATATCAACATGTCCCACAATATCATTCAAACTTGTCCCAACCTTCGGAACACCCAAAATAACATCAAAATATCAAATCATCATCGGATTCAAGCCTATGAATCTCAAGAACTTCCAAATTCCATTTTTGATCAAAAACCCAACCAAACCACGTCCGAATGACCTCAAATTTTGCAGACAAGTCCAAAATGACATAATGAAGCTACAGCAACTCTCGGAACTCCATTCCAACCCTCGGATCAAAATCTCACCTATCAACCGGAATTCGTCAAAATACTAACTTTGCCAATTCAAGCTTAATTCTACACCGGTCATCACAAAAATATTCCGGACACACTCCTAAGTCCCAAATCACCTAACGAAGCTATCCGAACCATAAAATTCACATTTCGAGCCCTCTAACACATAAGTCAATATCTGGTTGACTTTTCCAACTTAAGCTTCCTTAAAAGAGACTAAGTGTCTCAAACCTTACCAAAATCATTCCGGAATGACTTCAAATTTTGCACACAAGTCAAATTCGACATTACGGACTTGCCCCAACTTTCGGAACCGCATTCCGACCCCGATATCAGAATTTCCACTTTCGATCGAATTTTCTCAAAAAAAAAACCTTCAAATTTATATATTTAGCCAAATGACATCAAAATGACCTCCGGACATCCGAATTCACTTCCGATCGCGCTCCCAACTCCAGAATCACCATACGGAGCTATACCCAGACTCGGAATCCCAAACGGACATCTATAACACTGAAATTCCTTCCAACCCAAATTTATGAAATTCTTCTAAAATACTAACTTCAACAATATACGCCGAAATGCTCACGGGTTATCATAACCAAATCCGGACATACGCCCAAGTCCGAAATCATCATACGAACCTGGTGGAACTTTCAGATCCCGATTCTGAGGTCGTTTACTCAAAATTCCGATCTTAGCCATTTTCTTCAACTTAAGGCTGCCGAAATGAAAATTTTCTTTCCAATTTGACTCCGAATTTCCCGAAATTCAACTCTGACCATACGCACAAGTCAATATACCTGAAATGAAGCTGTTCATGACTTCCAACTGCTGAACGACGCGCTAGAGCTCAAAACGACCGATCGGGTCGTTACAATTATGGTTGGTTAAACCGCCTAATTTACTTTATCGCATTTTATTTACGTGGTCGGCTCTGCCCCATAAATTTATTTGCTTGCACTCTAACTGTATCTTCTGCAGGTTTAATTATCTTGTTGTTTGCTTCGTGTCCTTGCATCCATTTAATTTTTCCCTAATCTTTTAGGGGCTTCGCTTCCGGTCCCCTTGGTATCGGAAGTTGGGTCATCCTAAAGAACAACTTCTTAAGAAATAATTAGGTTTAATTATTATATATAAGAGAAGACATGTATCCATATATTTGATTGTCAGATCTAACTTTTCTACATAAAATTGAGTTAAGAACTTGAATATTATCCTTATGGAACCCAATGGTCTCTTGAACCAAGAACAGGAAGCATTAAAGTTATCATCGTTAATCTTGTTGTAATTACTTGCAAATCTAAGCCATGTCTTTCTTCCATCCTTCTTCCTCCCCTTCAAAAAATTCCTTCTCTTCTCCAACTTCTTCATCTTCCTCCTCATCATCCTCCTCCAATCCAAAACTCAAAGAAGAAATTAGCTTTTCTGATTTGCAGCAATCAATTGATGACCGGAAGATCCCTAAACATCCACAGTCCACAATTTACAAGTCTTCACGATGGCCCTTAACTAGTGATTACCATATTTCTACAATTGAGCAAACCATTCCTCTTGAATCAGATCATGAGGAAATCAAACTTTTAAACCCAAAGTCTATAGAAAAATATAGGCGAAAATACAATTATCTCCATTTTGGTTTAGTACAGATTGCAGCTAGACCTCTGTCCAGGGAAGGACTAGACACATCTCTACTCCTCTGTCTTAGAGATTCTAGATTTTTAGACTTCAATGATTCCCTCCTAGGAATGGTAGAAACCAGCCTTTGTAGCGGTCCAATTTAGTTGGATTGTTTTCCTAATTTTACGGTGTCTCTTAGAGATAGAAATATCTTAGACTCTTTAACTCTTAATGTTAAAACAGCCAATTACAAAACCAAAACTGGATCCTTACCAGTAGCAATTATTTATAGAATACAGTACAAAGCCATGAGTTCTGCCTTTATCACTGGAGCCATGAAAACCCTCCATAAAGGAGAAACCGTTCTTTTCAAAACAGATCTACAAAGATCTCACCTATCAATACCAAAACCCATTTCTTGGAGCCAAGTTTCTCTACCACAAAACTGGTTAATACAAGATGCCACTCAAGCTGAAAAACCAGAAAATACTACGGTCTCTCAGATCCAACAATATTCTAGCGGATCTGTAGCCATTTCCTTCCAAAGATCCTTTAGCCAAAGAGTCTCTGTCTAGTCCTCTTCGACACAGTCTGAGATTCAGCCTGGAAGACATTCAATATCTTCTTTTCCTTCTAGGATCGAAACTGTTAATTTTGACTCTAGAATCCCACAAGCCAAATATTTTGTAGAGACAACCCCTCCAACAGAAGTTAATTATGAACAACCTCAATCTCCCACTTACTCAGCTTTAGGTGCTGAATTAGGTGTTTTAGAAAAAGATTTCCAAATTGATAAAGAAAAACTTCGAGCAAATTTTTATTCACCAGAAAATATTTTCAAAAGAACTTGGTTTTTTGAGAATTTTCAAGGAGATAATAGAAAAAATCTCCGAAGTATCTACTATGAGTCTTTAAACTACATAAAAGAACAAATCAATTTCTTTGAATCGTTTGAAGCTTATGCTGAATACCACCAATTAGATTTTCCTTTTTCTAAATCAGCTAATGTTTCAAAAATTTGGAAAACCTCCTCCGGAGAAGAAGTCCTCTCAGAACTTCCTCCGGCACAAGGATTATCAACAAGTTACGCAAATGCTTCAGTAGTAGCTAATCCTTTCAAATTAAAAAACGAAAATGAAGCTATTACAGGCAAAGATATTAAAAGTATTTTTGAACAAAATAATTATACAAATAAATATTTACAATCCCTTGGTGAATATTTAGTTACAAAACCAACTTCAGCATCTACTAGTTCTAAGCCAGCAGATACCTCCACTTCTTCAATCCCT